GGGAGGGAGGGAGGGAGGGAGGGAGGAAAGAAGGAAGGAAGGAAGGAAGGAAGGAAGGAAGGAAGGAAGGAAGGAAGGAAGGAAGGAAGAGCTGTGGTAGCAGTATTGCAGACTAATTTGCCTGGTGGCTCAGCAGACTGATAGCATTGTGATTAACACCAGCTGTCTGCAATTACTGTAAGTTCGAATCTCACCAGGCTCAAGGTTGACTCAGCCTTCCATCCTTTCTAAGATAAGTAAATTGAGGACCCAGTTTGTGGGGGCAATAAGCTGACTTTGTATAAATATACAAAAGTATGAAGGTTATTGCTTAATGCATTGTAAGCCACCCTGAGTCTCCGGAGAAGGGCGGCATATAAACCAAATTTAAAAAAAAAAAAAACTGCTAGCAGTTCGATTCTCACTGGCTCAAAGTTGATTCAGCTTTCCATCCTTCCAAGGTGGGTAAAATGAGGACTCAGATTGTTGGGGGCAATATGCTGACACTGTAAATCGCTTAGAGAGGGTTATAAAAGCACTGTGACGTGGTATATAAGTCTAAGTGCTATTGCCATATTTCTCATTGCTGAGGTTTGAAACTAACTTCCAAATGGACCGGATGAAGTTAAAAAGAACAAAACACCTCTCTTTTCTTTTTTAATCTCTTTGGTGCTGAGAGCAAAACAGTTGCACTAGATACTCACAGTGGAATTGAGGGTATGATGCAGGAACTTTATAATTTTAGAGTCAGAAGCAGGACAAGCCAAAGCCAAACAACGATTGCGAAATGTGCCATAGATTTTGAGATGGAATGCCGTTTTGGGAAATTTTGTTCTTGTGGCTAATTTATCCATGCCATAAGCAGAGAGATCAAAGTACAAATTATGAGCACGGATCTCTGGAGTTGGCACCTGTGGTTTCAAAAAGGGAGGAGAAACAGAAATCAATTGCATGTTTGTATACTGCCTTGCTTTTTGAGTTTAGGACTGTCTCCCCAAACCCCATTATCTCCTCATAACAATCCTGTTAATGTGGGATAGTTTGAAAGAGAACAGAATAATTTAGCTCAACATTTCCCAAAGAAGCTTCAGGAGTGAGTGGAAATTTCAGGCTTAACACTAACCACTGCAATCCCCCGTTTCCCCTAAAATAAGACATCCCCTGATAATAAGCCCAATTGGGGTTTTGAGCACATGCGCTAAAATAAGACCCCCCCCCTCGAAAATAAGCCTTCCCTGAAAATATTTAAATGCATGCACAGCCGGTCCCTGCCATTTCCTCTGGTTAGGGAGACAGAGCTGGAAATCAGGTAAGATGGCAAGAGAAGCCCCGTCTTGCTCCACGCGCCCCAAAATGGTGGCGCAGCAGACTAATGCTACTGTTAAAGGTAGTATTTAGCTTCCAGCTGCCTGCAATTACTGCGAGTTCAATTCTCAACAGGCTCAAGGTTGACTCAGCCTTCCATCCTTTCTAAGGTAGGTAAAATGAGGACCCGGTTTGTGGGGGCAATAAGATGACTTTGTATAAAAATATACAAAAGTATGAAGGCTATTGCTTAACGCCTTGTAAGCCGCCCTGAGTCTCCGGAGAAGGGCGACATATAAATCGAACCAATAAATAAACAATAAATAAATAAATAAATAAATAAATAAATAAATAAATAAATCTCATTGTACAGATGTTGTGCACTGACAATAAAGATTTGAACTGAATTCAAAGAACATTCCTTGTTTATGATTACCTGTCGTTGGTCAGGTCTCTCAATGACTGCATTAGCTCCATAAGCATTGCAAGATTCCACAGTGTATTCTGGGTTGATTCCAAGGATTGCACTTGATTCCCCACAGGTTCCATCGGCTAAGACAATGATCTTTGGCCAATCAGACACTAAATTCTTTTTTAAAAATTCAATTGAGAACTAAAGAAGAGATGGAAAGACAAAGACCCACATTTCACATTTTACGATTTATATTGATATTATCATTAAGTGTTATACCTTATGATTCTTGACGAATGTATCTTTTCTTTTTATGTACACTGAGAGCATATGCACCAAAGATAAATTCCTTGTGCGTCCAATCACACTTGGCCAATAAAGAATTATATTCTATATTCTATTCTATAGAATATAGAATATTCTATAGGAATATGGTTTGGTGGCTTTCCAAAGTGTGAACAGAAGCAACAAATCAACCCAATGGGGGGAAAAAATCTATCTTTTCAAATCCCCTCCACCAGAAGTGGAAAAATCAGATTTCTCCAATATAGTATGAAAAAAAAATGTTATTTTTCTGTCAGACACTTCTCTATACAACAATTACAGGGAGGTTTTTTTATTACTGGTTCTCATGCTCAACTTTAATTATAAGCCAACAAAGCTTTCTTTAGCGTATCTGTGTGTTTTAATCTAAACCAAATGTGCTTTGTTTGGTTTCATTTATGGAGCCATTTATCTCTCTAAATATGTACAATAATAATTAACTGTTCCAGTTTATAGATTGTCTCAATACCGGGTTATTATTAACTAATCATAAAAGTCTCCCTGGACCTGTCAATTTTATGCATGATAAAGAAAGTTGTCATATCCTGGGTGTACTTTTGAACAAATCTGACTTAATTCATGAAGTGGGAATCGTGAATGTTATGCTTATTTTGATTTTTAGGTTTAGGTTTAGGTTTAGGTTTAGGTTTAGGTTTAGGTTTAGGTTTAGGTTTAGGTTTGGAAAGAATAAACATAATGTGTAATTAAGTTAAGCATCCATGTTTATTTCTGTACTTTAAACAGGACTTTGCTTAAGGCAGAATGTAAACATTCTAAGATCTACTGTAGCCTTTTTAATACTTTTCAGTTGGAACATCCCAAACTCTTCTTCCAAAAAGCAAATTAGCAAGCATTTCTCCCTTCTCTCAAAAGATGATTTACACTGAGAGGGAACAACAGTGAAACTGGGATAGCAGATCCCAATAAATATTGTGCAACTTTTTAAAAAACCTCTACACACCAGCAAGGTTGACTGATTTGCTGGGAAAAGGACATCAAGTTGATGAAAGTTAGTCAAAAGCTATGCATATTCTCTCTCTCCCCCCACCCCCAAAAATAAGAATGGACAACTGTGATCCCAGAGTTCTTGTTTTGAGGCTCCTCAGCCAACTGCATATGATACATGTTCATCTTATTTGCATTGTCTCCAGCCTCATCACCCCTCGTTTATGTGCAACCCTCAGCCACCAAGAGGTTGTCCTCCTGCAGTATTTATTTTATTTATTTATTATCATTTGTCAAACAGAAACAAAACCAGGAATCATATAAAAATACAATGACAGGGACAATAGGCACATTAGTGCGCTTATGCACACCCCCTCTACGGACCTCTTAAGTATGAAGTGAGGTCCACGGAGGTCAATTTGTGACTAAAACTGTGAAAGTTCTCTTCTAAAAAGCAGGAACTCTGCAATGATTGGCCATTAAACTGATCTACCTTTTACAAATGGGGTGGAGAGACAGACATGCCCAAATACGCAGAGACGTTTATTCTATCTTTGCCCGGATGGCCTCCTCTTCCTCACTCACCTTGGTGCCCAGCAAGATCCGGAGAGCCAGCTCCCTCGTGTGCTGCTCCAGAACGCTGAGCAGGTGCTCCTGGAAGATGCCCACCTTGGTGAAGAAATGCCCCTTGTCCCAGCAGCCTTCCAGGTTGTCGAAGTCCACCCCCAGCCCCAATAGGAATCGGACGCTGCGGGGGTCGAGGGCGATCTGCTGGAGCCGGCAGAGGAGGGCGGCGCGGGGGCGCGCATCCAGCAGCGTCAGCTTCAGCACCTTGCCCGAGCGGACAGCGACCAGGGCTGCAGTCAGTCCCACCGGGCCGGCGCCCACCACCAGCAGGGAGACCTTCGCTCTGCTCCGCCGCACGGCGTCCACGCTTAGCTTCACCGCCACGAAGAGCGCCAGGGCCAGCAGCGCACTCAGCCCGACCTCCGCCGACAGGTGCTCAAACTCTGAAGTCTCCAGGCTGTCGCCTTCCATTTCCAGCTGAGTTACGGACTACTCCAACCGGCCAAGTTTTAACTCCCGGGTTCGCCTGTGGAGCTTACCTTATCCTTTGTTCCTTTGAGAAGGGTAAGAAGGCAAAAGCCGAGGTTGTAGCTTCTTAAGGAGCCGCCAACCAGTTAGATCTTCTGAAAAAGGAAATAGGTAGGGGGACCCAAACGCACACTATTCCTGACCTGGCTACTGAACTGACTCCTTTTCTGGGCTCACACACCATGCAACAAGTTGTAAATTAACCCTATCAGTTGAGTTCACACCACGCAGTGAGTGATCCAGTAACTAAACAAGCTTAAAATCAACCCAGCTGAGCCAACCGTGTCACAGCAGCCTTCAGATCTTTAAGTAACTCATTTAAGCATAATGTGCAAACACAAATCTATAGAAGTAATAAATCTGGATTAACTCATCAAGTATAATGATTCCAGTTGGTTTCACACAACATTCGAGATTAGATTAAAATGAGATTTGTCGTTCATGTTGTGGTACAGCCTTATATTTGCACTTGATTAAGCCCAGAAATCACTGTTAAAATTTCTTAATATTCTGGGTGCAATTTAATGCCAAGCGACACCAACTCATAGCTGCAGCCTGACTTTTTACCAAGTTGCTAGGGCAGAATAAAGTGGAATGGAATAAAATAGAATGAGAGTAACTGGAGCTTGCTGCAAGATATCCTAAGGATATGGTTAAGGTGAAGGGACTTTAGGGAATAAAGCAAGATTGAAATTGAAATTTATATTATAGAATTTCAGTTGATTGATTTAATATATATATGCATATATATGTCTCTGTGTGTGTGTGTGTGTAGAGAGAGAGGGAGCATGTGTGCATAAAGGGTTTGTGGGTTTTTTTGGATCATTTTTCTGTTTTATGGCTACAGGTTTTACTGTGAGAAACCCTGAATATTTAAGGAGATTTATAACCATATAAATCTTTTAAATAAACAAACAAATAAATAAACTTACAACCAATATTTAGTGCTGTTAAAAATAACTTTATTAAATTTTATGAAGTTTATAGAAAAAGATCTATCTGCACTAGCAGTAAAGCATGTTGAGAGATTACATTTCAAAGGCGAGGGTTGTCCAGATCTACCATTATCTATTGACTGACAACTTAAGATGCTATTCACCATTCCAAGATTTGTTTTTTGTCCTTCTCCTACAATAATTTTAAACATTCATTTCTATAGATGAAGATATATCTCAAACATTAGAAATCGTTCAAAAATAACAAGATAAAGACCTTAAACTTGGACTTTAAAAGTAAAATACTCTACAAAAGTTAAACTGGCCTCTCAAGGACAATACAGCATTTCAATCTTCATTTGATCGATGGGACGGTGAGTCGATCAAACCAAAGTGTTTAACCAAGATATGAATTCATTTTCCAAGAAATAGGATGGTCTGTCAAGATTCAGACCAAGAACCAGATTGTAAAATTTGAGCTGGGGTGGACAAGAGAGATCAAGGAACTAAAGAAAATTAGAATGATTCAGAAGCAAAATAATGTAATGAGAAGACCATTATCTGAAAGCAAAATGTATCTCATTGGCTTAACTAGACAAAGCTGAACGTATCTCACTCTAACTAGACAAGGGATCTTAGGAGTATGTCTGCTACAATTCAAGGCCCATCAAATCCGTGTTCAAACAGCAAGCTAATCTCAGGAAAAACTCCAGAAACTGCAACTCAACTGCCTATCTGTGATAATTCCATTTTTCCCCCCCTCCAACCATGAGTGGCTAAGAACTTCACTCCCAGATTTTTGCAATAGATATTTTCCTCAAGGTTGGCAAATCTCGCAAGCTGTCATTTCAGCACACCTTCCAACAGCCATGGTTGGAAAGAGGTCTAAGGGATCAGGAATTCACAAATATAACGTTTAATGGTACGACAAACCTCATCCGCCCATTTTCCTTCACCTGGCTGAGAAAACAAGACACAGTTCTCACGCTTCCCCCCGTTGGGTTGTGAACGGTCCCAGTTGAAGTAATTCAGGACCATTCCATTGACGTCCACGAATTTGCCTTCGTTTACCATGTCAGTGACGCCAAGCCAAAAGTCTGCCACCCCTGGCAAGCTCTTCTTGCTGTACTCTCTCAGGGCTGTGGTTTCATCTCCATCTCTGGGAATAGCTAGGGTCCCACCTTTGGCAATGCAGTCTTCGTTGGCTTCATGGAAATGTTTTGCACCTTCAGAGACCAGGTAGCATTTCTTGTGGATCTTTGTTCCACGAAGGCAGACTGTGAATGTAATGAAAAGCACACAGGGAATAGTGGGAGTCCTCAATTTACAACCAAGATTGGTACCAAAATTTCCATTGCTAAGCAAAGCGGTTAGTAAGTGAGCGTTCCAGAAAACCCCAACTCCGAGTAAAGATGCAGAAGCAAGCATTTTCCAACGTTCTCTTTACTAGAATAGGTAAACTGGCACATCTGGAAAAAACCTGAATCTGAAAGGTCAGAAAATCAAAAACCCCCAAACCATCCCCTCACTTCTCAGTCGATCACATGCTCCAATCAACCACCGTCCCATCTCGAGACATCACTCCAACCACTCCTTCTCCAGATGCAGATCGTCCTTGACTGACAGGAAGAATGCTATTATGTCTACAGACAATCCCTCTACTAAATCCCCCCTCCTACTTTCCCACACAGGAGAAGGTGGCAGCATGGAAGCTTCCGGCCTAATATGGCTTCCAACGCTGACACAAGTGCGATTTTACGAATAGGTGGCATTTTTTTTGGATAGAAGGCATATTTTTGCCCATTTTAAAGCTGCCTGGGATAGTAACATCACTGTTCTTTCTTCTTTAACCCACTGTCATTTAAAAAAAAAATCTTTTTAGCCCTTCCAAATCTCCTTCATTTTTGCTTCATTAGACATCTGGGGTTAAAATTGTACAATTAAAAAATGTTTTCCATTATCCCAACTATACTTTATATACAAGTTTTATTGAAGTCATTTCCCCCCCACCAAGTTAAAAACACTCACTAGTTCCAATCTGATCTCTAATCCCTCTTCCATCACCACGATAAATCATCACCACCACAATCAGAATCATCACAGAGAAAAGAGAAAAACCAATTAAGCCATTGGAGGAACCAATCAAACCATTCAGAAAAACCAATTAAACCATTCATAAAAAGTACTGTCTAGTCTCTTTTTTAAAAAAAACATTCAAAGATGCAGAACTCATAACTCCGTAGATAGACTGTTCCATTATTTTCAGGATTTTTTTCCTGATTATTCCACTAGGTTACTGGCTCCATTCACAAATGGAATTTAAACACAGTTAAAAGACTTAATAGCTTCATTCACAACATATTTACTTGGGAATGTCAATTTCAATTAGGATTTTTTTGGCTTAGTGTACTAGCCAATTTTTTGGCTTAGTGTACTACTGTTCGGTTACTTTATGTTTCAATGGACAGTACGAACCCAGAAAATAAATCAGTTCAGTATTCACTTTAAGTGTATTATGTGAACAGAGTAATACTTATCCTCTGTTTGCCAGGGGTGAGGATGGGTGAGGAAGGAAGGGAAATGCATAAAGGCATAATTAGTGACTACATTTGGATGCTATATATGTCCCAATTTATCTCCTCTTTTTTTCTCAAGCAAGTGAGAATATTTCCAAGTAAAGTCCTGGCTATATCTTGCTTTTTAAAAAGAGTGCAGATAGACATTAGTAAGGTAAAGGTAATATGAGTACTAGTCGTTCCTGATTCTAGGGGGCGGTGCTCATCTCCGTTTCAAAGCTGAAGAGCCAGCGCTGTGCAAGGACGTCTCCGTGGTCATGTGGCCAGAATGACTAAATGCTGAAGGCAGAAGGAATGCTGTTACCTTCCCACCAAAGGTGGTTCCTATTTTTCTACTTGCCTTTTTTACGTGCTTTCGAACTGCTAGATTGGCAGAAGCTGGGACAAGTAATGGGAGCTCACTCCATTATGCAGCGCTAGAGATTCGAACCACTGAACTGCCGACCTTTCTGATCGACAAGCTCAGCGTCTTAGCCACTGAGCCACCATGTCCCATGCAGATAGACGTTATGGACCCAGAGATATTCTTAAGAAGTTAAATATGATACTGGGGGGGGGAGCAGAGGTCCTTTTGAGCACCAAAGATGGATGTTTTGGAGCAGATGGGCATTGACATCAAGCCTACTCTGCCTACAAAACATACAATGAATCCCAATCCTTCCAGCTTCTGTAAATCTTTTTTTTTTTAATTTCTGTAAATCTATAGAGCCATGTTATTCCTCTATTAGAAGAGTTGGTCTTGAAGGCAGTATAGAAGGGGTGGAGAAGATGAAAGCAACTTGGGAGTGTTATTTGTACTATTTCAGCTTGAAGAAAAACAGCCTCTTCTGGTACACCTCACTGGCTTCACAGTACACCACAAAAGAAAAGAAGTGTCTATATTGACATCAGAGTGGGCAGAACTAGCAGGAAATTGGGAGTCTCCTTGGCTGTTCACGGAAGGCAAGATCTGTAGCCTCCATTGATTTAGTCTTGTAATCTGCCAAAGCAAATTCAACTCAGTGCTTAGCAAACACGTCCCAGACCAGGGATTTTTCAAGGGTATTTTAAATCACCTTTCAGCCTCCCACAGTATGAATAGCTTTTAGTGCAACAGGAAATGAAATCATATTTGCCATAGTCTTCTCCCCTTCCCCATATTAAAACTCTACCGGTAGTTAAGCTCAGGTAGCTACTGAAAAATAGATTGTGGAGAAGGATGCTTCTCGCAGCCTTTTCTGGAGGTAAAAAAAAAAAAACCAACCACACCAGAACTTACCTGTTTGCAAGGCTTGCATTTCTTTCAGTGCATTTACCTCTTTCCAAAGCTTCTCAACTTGGCTCTTAAGGTCACCATTTTTCTCTTAAATAGGTAGAAATATACAGATTAGTACATTTATTAACATTGAAATATTAATATTGTTTGAATCCAGATGTGTGTGTGTGTGTGTGTGTGTGTGTGTGTGTGTGTACAGTTAATATCTCGGGTTTCTTCCCGTGTAATGGCAAACATATCCCTAGAAGGGTAGCAGCGATATGTTTGCCATTACACAGATATGTTTGCCATTACACGGGAAGAAACCCGAGATATTAACTGTACACACATATATACCCGTGAAAACTTACCCTTTCGCCTTTCAGCTCCAATCCAGGAGCCCTCAAGCAGTCGCATAAAGTCTCCCTTTATTTCTTTATCAGCAAATATAAATTATACACACACACATATACTACATGTGTAGGCGCATATATGATTACATTTTTATATTCTTCATTATATACAGGAGTGGAAATCATAGCAAGATAATCCTAAAAAACTTATTTAAAGTTGCAGACTGATGCAGCATGATGCCTGCCTGCTCTTAAATAGCTTTTTAGAATCAGACCATTGTACAATAATAAAGAGTTACAATTCTATAGATAATTATCTAACACAAACATTATTCAAGTGTGTTTTTTGTATGTGCGTATGGAATATGTGTATGTGTGTATATGTATACACGATAGATAGATAGATAGATAGATAGATAGATAGATAGATAGATAGACAGACAGAGAGAGAGAGAGAGACAAACAGACAGACAGACAGATATATAGGAGATATAGACAGTAAGAGATAGATAGATAGTAGATAGATAGATAGATAGACAGACAGACAGAGAGATAGATAGACAGAGAGAGAGAGAGACAGACAGACAGATATATAGGCGATAGATAGTAAGAGATAGATAGATAGATAGATAGATAGATAGATAGATAGATAGATAGATAGATGGATGGATGGATGATGGATGGAGGGAGGGAGGGAGGGAGGGAGGGATGGATGGATGGATGGATAGATAGAAAGAAAGAAAGATAGATAGATAGATAGATAGATAGATAGACAGACAGACAGTAAGAGATGATATAGATAGATAGATAGATAGATAGATAGATAGATAGATAGATAATGATGATAGATGTTAGAGATAGAGATAGAGATAGAGATAGAGATAGAGATAGATAGATAATGATAGACAGAGATATATAGATTGTTAATGATAGGTAGATGATAGATAGATAGATAATGATGATTAGATAGATAGATAGATAACAGACAGACAGACAGATAGATAACAGACAGACAGACAGATAGATAGATAGACAGACAGACAGATGATAGATAGTAAGAGATTAGAGAGAGAGAGAGAGAAAGAGACAGATATATAAACACTTATATGACTATCATACTTTAAAAACCTACTGCACTTTGTACAAAATGAGTTCCATGGTTCCTTCTATTTATTCATACAATATCTACATCTATAGGGCCATCCACTCATAGGAAGAAAGCATAACCAGTACTTCAACTCATTGAATAAATGCGCCATGTGTTTATCTTTCCAAAGATGCCATATCAGTCTTTTAGCTATAAAGAGGGACCCAGAAAATCCATTGACAGTCTCCAGTTCTCAAATTCCCTGTCCCAGGTGTGTAATTCAAAACAATATTATCCTCTGACATTTTCACCTTTCTGTGGCTCCATCACTTACCTTTGAGTCTCCGCTTGGTGTGCTTATTTGTCTTGAAGGGGGAAGCTTGGCCAATTACGAGATCCAGCAAAACGATGCCCATGAAAAGGAAAATCAGACACCCTCCAGGCTTCATGTCTCTTCAGACGGTGAACAAGAACAGCCAGTTAGCAATTCGGAGAGTTCCCATCCCAGTAGAACTGCCCTTGGCTACCTTTATAAAAAGTGCCATGACGAATTGGCTCTGCTTCTTGTTTACGAAATGAATGAAGTGTCTCATCGGGCTTCATCATGAAGTGCCCTGTTGTTCTTAGAATAACGAACACCTCCCTTCGGACTCCCGTTTCCTGTCAGGTCTGGACATTCAGTGCATCAGGGTTGCTAACCCAAGATTAACTTGCAGCCCTTGGAAGAAATGAGTATTAGTAAATAGGCCCTTGGGACAGCTGCATTTATAACAGGAGGCTGGCAATTGGAGTCCTTGGGCCAGTGGTGAAATGTAAAATTTGTTACTACCGGTTCTGTGGGCGTGGCTTGGTGGGGGGAGGTAATGTGACTGGGTGGGCGGGGCCAACTTTTTTAAAAAAAACTTTTAAAAGCATTTTTTCTACAACCTCTTCGGCCGTTGTCAGAACCTGCTGAAACCCACCTCTGATATGAAGACATAAACATTTATAGAAATATGCCTCCATCTATAGAAATATGTCATGCAGATTCTAATATTGATTTAGAACCGAAAATACTGTTGTTGCATGCAAATTGTCCAATAACTCTGACTCCTAGCAATTTCATTTGTGTCATTTTCTTGGCAAAAAATGTGGAAGGGGTTCAACGTAACCTTGGAATTTCCTGGTGGTCTCATATCCACCAATTAGCCAAGTTGAATCCTTGCTTACTGTAAAATAGGAATTTCAAACCCTGTTGGAACCTGCCTAAGTTCCTTCCTGAAGCTCCTGGAGAGGGAGGGAGGGAGGGAAGGAGGGAAAGAGAGAGAGAGAGAGGGAGAGGGAGAGAGAAGGAGGGAGGGAGGGAGAGAGAGAAAGAGGAAGAGAGAGGGAGAGAGAGGGAGGGAGGGAGGGAGGGAAAGAGAGAGAAAGAGAGAGTTGTAAGCCATATTTATTGATTTAATTTAATTTCATTTTAATTAAATTAATATTAAACTTCCTGCACTGTCCCCAGTCCCATGTACTTATAGTAGAGTGGAAACTTCAGAATACCATTTAAAGTCCAGTTACTGGCTTTTTGGACTAAATTTTTTAAGAAAAGGGTTAGAACAAAAATAGGTTTGGTGTCAGAATATAAACAGGATGGCTGCCAACTGAAGAGACAGTCCATACAGAAATGGGATGAAGAGCTTGGCCAAATCTTCAGTGCAAAAATAACAACTTGAGAAGCAAATAAATAAGTCTGAATCCCAAAAGTTTTGATGCAAAGTGTTCTTTGGGTGGTAGTAAGAAATCACCAACACCACATTTTGAAACACGCTAAAAAGGTATAAAGATATTCTGAACATTAAAAACCAGCTGCCGAATTTTGAACTCAAGGAACAACAGATGATGCCAACGAAAGTCATCTATTATAATACATAAATCAACAGTGACAAACATTTATAAAATGTATAAACAGCTACAATCCAGCTTTGATTTATATAGGATATAAATAGGTACAATTCAGCTCTGTTTGAAAGTAAGCTTTTTTTTAAAAAAAAGAACATTTCTTTCCCCCACCTTATTATAATGCTATAAATCTTAATACAAATAATTCAAAGTATTATTTCAAGGCAGATTTTAATGCAGTCATCTTTTGCAATGTGACTTAAAAATGTGACACATTCTGCTATTTAGAAAACTTAAAAAGTATTGAAAATAAAAAGGGGAAAGTAAGAATTCTATCATTACTGACTGCAATTTAGGATTTCAATGTTACAAGCTTAAAATTATTTGACTATTTAAGTCAAATAAATAGCAGAAAAGAACCGTTACAATTCACATTGAAGCAGGGGTGAAGTCCAGCAGGTTCTGACAGGTTCTGGAGAACTGGTAGCAGAAATTTTGAGCAGTTCGGAGAACCGGGAAATATCATCTCTGGCTGGCCCCAGAGTGGGGAGGGATTGGAGATTTTGCAATATCCTTTCCCCCAGGAGTGGGGAGGGAATGGGGATTTTGCAGTATCCTTCCCCTGGAGTGGGGTGGGAATGGGGATTTTGCCATATCGTGCGCAAAGTGTGTGCACGAAGAGAACCGGTAGTAAAGCCGGTTAGAACCCACCACTGCTTTGTTGGATCTTGGGTGAGGCCATTTTCCTATGGATAGACCTAGCTATCTCTTTATCTCTTAAATGTGGACATCTGCTGAGGGCTATTGAGGAGGGTGGGGGCTATTAAGACTGAGTCTGTTTCCTGTCTAAAAACACATTTCTCCATTTCTCATCCAGAGAAATATAATATTCTGCCTTTTTAATATTTCCTAGACTTTCCTAGGAGAGGGGTGGGTGCTAACTTCCTACACCCCATTAGCCAGACCTATCTCTTTTGCCCACATATGGTACCTTATATAGCGTTGAATAGTGAGCTAGAAGGATCATTAGCCCTACACGCTCTCTACAAATATTCTATTGACATTGTGCTGATCCTCATTCAACAGCCGTTGTATAGTTTATCCTCAAGATGGCAGCATTTGAAAATGCTTCTTAAAAAAGAAGGCAAACGGGTTATGTTTGTTTAATCAACCTCCGTTAAGGATTTAGTTGCATTTCAAAGGTGAAGCCCAAACTTTTCTTCTTTTCCAGTTCTGAAACCTGGAAAAAGTTGCACTTTCAGTTCAAGACCCTGCCTTGATTTGTAAAGAGAGGAATGTCTTAAATGAGTGGCGTAGGAGGCTAATGCCTCCTAAGGCAGTATTTAACATCCAGCTGCCTGCAATTACTGCGAGTTCAATTCTCCCCAGGCTCAAGGTTGACTCAGCCTTCCATCCTTTCTAAGGTAGGTTAAATGAGGACCCAGTTTGTGAGGGCAATAAGCTGACTTTGTATAAATATACAAAAGTATGAAGGCTATTGCTTAACGCATTGTAAGCCGCCCTGGGTCTCAGGAGAAGGGCAGCATATAAATCAAATTATATTAAAAAAAAATGCTATGGCACGACTGGGTGGATGCACCCAGGGATATTTGCACCAGGGATGAAATGCTACCAGTTTGCGCCAATTTGGGCGAATCGGTAGTGATAAAAACTACCAGTTCGGGCAAACAGGTAGTAAAAAAAAAAGCTACCGGTTGAGTTGAACCGATAGTTTAAAAAGCTATCTCTTCGGTTGAACCAGTAGTTTAAAAAGCTACCAGTTCAGTCAGACTGGTAGTTAAAACAAGCTGCCGGTTCATTCGAATCGTATTTCCGACGATCAGCTGTGCCGCACGGTTTAGCTTCACTAGAAAGGAAATCCTGCTTTCTAGTGAAGCTAAATCACGTGGCACAGCTGTTTCCCCCTCCCTTTTCTACTTACCTAGTGAAGTCGTCTTTTTCCATGCGAAGAGTGCATTGGATGTGCATTGCGCATGTGCACGCAGTGTGCTTTTGGTGCGTGCTGCGCATCCACAGGCGCAGCATGCTTTCGGCATGCACCACGCATGCGCGGGCAGTGAACCAGTGGTGATCCGAGGATTTACACCCTGTTCCTTAAGCAAATGTAAACCAGATTAAGTGTAAAACAACAGTTGTAAAGATTTAAAGATAGGAACCTAGAACTAAGGAGACATTTTCTGACAGTGGAACGGCTTGCCTCCAGAAGTTGTGTGTGCTCCACCACTGGAGGTTTTTAAGAAGAGTTGGACTATACCATTTGTCTGGAATGGTATAGAGCAGGGATCACCAACCTTTAGGACCTCAGGGACCACTAAATTCATAATTTTAAATCCCGCAGACCACCAATATGATCTGCCTAATGACCAGCTGGGTAGGAGTGGCTAGGTGGTCATGTGACTGGCTGGGTGTGGGCAACTCAATGTCACTCACATCAAGGGGCGCCTCGCCGGCCTCTACTCACTCTTCTCCTGCCAGCCACTCCTTGCCTGCCCACCCGGGCTCCTTAGAGCCCCAACAGGAAGCAGTTGTTGATGTTAAGCAGCCACCACGAGAAAGAGTTGGCAAAACAGCTCAGTTCAAATTGGATCTGACCGAGAAGGAGGCTCAGCAGAAGTACCTCACTAAGGACTAAGAGCATAGGCTTTCCAACAGAAGGAAGACCTGCAAGGCCAGGTACCAGTACCTGGAGGCTCAGTGGGCTGAGATGGTCAGCCAGTTCCAGCCCATGATGCAGTCCCACTGGAACAAGGCCCTCCAGCTCTTCGCCACCAGCAGACTTCCCTCCAACCTTTGCCCAAAGCCCCGTACCAGGAAGCAGACCTCAAGTTGGAATTTCTGCCCCCCCTCCAACCTGCACAAAAAAACCCCGAACGGGGAGACCCTCTGCAGCAACGCAAGTGTCCGGCCCAGGGGTCATAGTTTGAGGACCCCTGATTTAGTGCAATATTAAAAATGCAAATAATTTTTCTGCAGACCACCAACATTTTCTCGTGGACCACCTGTGGTCCACAGACCACCAGTTGGTGACCGTTGCCCAACACCTTTTCAGAACAGAAGTCCCTTCATTGCACCATCCCAGAGCAATCCAAACTTCAAACCTGGAAGCTCAGATAAACAATAAGCCAGAGGCTGACCAGATTAGCTCAGACAAACACCTAGGATTTGCATTTCCTCTTTTGCCTATAGAGCCAGCTTTGCCCCCTACATGAATCTGACAACAGCCAATAGAATATTAAAGGACATGTCCTTGCACAGGAACAGGAAACTCAAATACAAAGCCCAAAGAAGGTAAAAAAACCCACCCACTCTCAACTCCATTTTGTCAGCTGCCCAGAACCACAAACATGAGGTTCTGCTTCATCCATAAACCAACCAGCCTCCATGTTTCCAGTGTCCTTCTCCCAGCTTGGAACTGAACCAGATGGATATTTCTTCTAACAATTAGTTTCCCCTTGCCAGTTGTGTGCACAGTTAAACTTGGCCATTGGAGGTTCATTTACAATAGAATATATTCTGTGACCCTGATAATGGGCTAACTCAGTATTCATGCTAAGCAATTGGATTATTACATTTGGTGGCTCAGAGGGGATGAGGAAACCTTGCCCTTTCAGATCCTTCCTGCCCATTTTAAGCAATCAGCCAATTATTTTGTTTCCATGGTAATATATTGCTAGCTATTATGCTTGGCCAAAGCTATTAAGGTAATCTTCCTAAAGAAAGGGGGGGGGATTTCATGTGACCCATTCAGAATACCTACCTACACAGCAAAACAAGCAAATTCACAGGCCCCCTGGTTGCAATTTCCCCAGGCCACGACAAGGCGACTGTTTTAAAAATTGCACCTATGCCAAACTTAGCAGAAGTAAATCTCCCTTGCTGTCTTTCGGAAAAGATACACTTCCTTTTCTTGAATATGTCTGCAAAATGTATATGCTGTCCTTTCCTTTCTCATTATTTTTGTGGGTGGCCCATAAAATAGGGTAGGGTAGGGTAGGGTAGGGTAGGGTAGGGTAGGGTAGGGTAGGGTAGAATAGAATAGAATAGAATAGAATAGATAGAATAGAATAGAATAGAATATAGAATAGAATAGAATAGAATAGAATAGAATAGAATAGAATAGAATTTTGTTTTTTTTTTAATTTGATTTATATGCCGCCCTTCTCCGAAGACTCAGGGCGGCTTACAATGTGCTCAGCAATAGCCTTCATCCTTTTGTATATTTATACAAAGTCAGCTTATTGCCCCCACAAACTGGGTCCTCATTTCACCTACCTTAGAAAGGATGGAAGGCTGAGTCAACCTTGAGCCTTGGCGAGATTCGAACCCTGCAGTAATTGCAGGCAGCTGGTCTTAATAAGCTTAATAACAGGGTGCCTTAAACCCCTGTAGTACCAAGGCTAGAATAGAATAGAATAGAATATTATTGGCCAAGTGTGTTTGGGCACATAAGGAATTTGTCTTGGTGCATACGCTCCCAGTGTACATAAAAGAAAAGATATTCTATGCTATGCTATGCTATGCTATGCTATGCTATGCTATGCTATGCTATGCTATGCTATGCTATTCTACGCTATGCTAAACTACGCTATGCTACACTACTCTACTCTATTCTAAAACAATTAAAAAAGTCACCTTAAACAAATGTGTCATTTGTTTTGAACCCGACAGGTCTCCGCAATATTTTGTGTGAGGAATTGTATACAAATCTTGAGTACTGTATTGGGTTATAATCAACGCAGGAAACAGATACATCCTCATATTTTAAACTGTATGCATTTTAGTCCATAAAGTGACACCATGGACACACAAACACCTTGCATCTTAAAATAAAAGGTTTGAGTCAGACTTCTTGGCGGTTTGCTATTGCTTGTTTTTGTCCTGAAATGTTTCTGTACAGGTAATCCTCGATTTACAACAGCCGTCCAGACTGAAATTTCTATCACTAAGCGATGCAGTCAAAGCGCAACCACGACGCTTAATGATGTCCATCCCTGAAGTCCCCATCGCTATCGTTAAATGATTTGTTGTTTATTCTGTACAGCAACAAAGAGGTGTGGTCTTGGGACTAAATCTCAATTCGAGAGCCCCTAATGTACAAATGAGCATAGCTTTTATGCACGTTTGGAAAACAACACAGAGACATGCTCGTTAGCAAGCAACAAGCAAATAAAATATTCACAGTTTTGGTAGAGGATGGTCCTTCCTAAAAGTGGCTTCATTACTAAACTATTACAGTCCTCTGCCTTTCTGTCTCTAACTGATAAGGCTGGTAATTGAGCAAAACCTGTAAGCTAATTTAATCATCTAGCTACAATATGAAAAGGGAGTTAAATCCCAAACCAGCTACTTGCCTGGTCCCGAGTTGCTCGATAATGACAATCACATGATCCTTCTAGGAATGTACAGGCAGAACGAGGGCCTCCCAAAAGGAAAACAGAGATTGTAAAAATGGAATTAACAAAAAATGGACAGCCATAGCAGTCCTACATTCTCCCATACCAAATGGATGGCAAATGGTTATCCAAGTTTTTAAGAAGAGATGGGAGAGCCGAGGTGGCGCAGTGGTTAGGGTGCAGTACTGCAGCTACTTCAGCTGATTGCTAGTTCAGCAAATCAGCGGATCAAATCTCATCGGCTCAAGGTTGACTCAGCCTTCCATCCTTCCGAGGTGGCTAAAATGAGGACCCAGATTGTTGAGGGTAATATGCTATTTAGTATACTGTCTTTGGTGTAAGCTGCCCAGAGTCCTCGGAGAGTGGGCATAGAAATATGAATAATAAAAATAAAATAAAAATAAATTTGTCCTATTCTATTCTATTCTATTCTATTCTATTCTATTCTATTCTATTCTAATTCTAATTCTAATTCTAATTCTAATTCTAATTCTATTCTCAGCAAGGGACACAAAAAGTTCTGTCATTCTGCTTCTGAATACAGTGAACGTCTTTCTGGAACCCTAGGAAAAAAATCCTTTGCATCAAGATGCGCATGGAGAAAAGGTGAAAGGACCATCTCGATTTTACAGCTCTTTTGGAATTGCTTGGCATCTTCTTGGATGGGAGGCCTGAAGACGTGTCTGTTTTGTTCCATTGATCTGTGTGTTTGCTTCCTGGCAACTGTCCTTTTTTTTTTTTTAATTTTAAAAAACAAACTTTATTAGATTTAAAAAAAATAAAACATTCAAACCTTGAAATACAATCAACAGTATCAACAAACAACAAAGTATATATAATGTATATAAGTACACATATATACAAAAACTTATTTTCCTTTTTTTTCCTTAATGACGGTGTATAATTATTACTTTTAATTTCTTATTAAATTTTGACTTTACCTTCTTTTCCATTGGTTTATCCACTCATACCAACTGTCCCATATCTTAAAATACTGTGTCTTCCTTATCTTTCAATTTCAACATTAGTCTATCCATTTCTGCACATGTGTAAATTTTTTGAATTATTTGCTGCTCCGTTGGCAATTGATCTGTTTTCCAGACTTGTGCTAGGGCTAACCAAGCTGCCATGATTATATGTAATATTAGGTACTTTTTTTCCTTTCTAATGTTTTGTTTAAGCATTCCTAACAAAAAAAATTCTGATTCTAACTCATTATCCTCCGCAATTATTTCTAATATCCAAATTTTTATTTTTATCCAATATTTCTTAATTTTTGGGCAAGCCACACCAGAAGGTTCCCTGTGCTTGCTTACATTTCCAACACATTGGATTAAGATTTGCATACATCCTCGCCAATCTCGCAGGGGCTAGATACCATCTGTACCACATCTTGTAGTGGTTCTCCTTATATCCTATGGATTTTGTTATTCTATAGTTGGTTTCCCATACTCTTTTCCATTCTTCCAATTGTATGTTTTTGCCAATATTCCTTGCCCAAGCTATCATTTGTCCTTTGACTAGATTTTCTGCTAGGTCCATCTCGATCTTACAGCTCTTTTGGAATTGCTTGGCATCTTCTTGGATGGGAGGCCTGAAGATGTATCTGTTTTGTTCCATTGATCTGTGTGTTTGCTTCCTGGCAACTATCCTGATGGGGTTTTTTTCTGTTTTACTTCCAGAACTGACACTAGACTGTTGAATGAGTCCTCCAAGGCAATCTTGTTGGGAGCAATCTGAATGTCTCTGTGGCAGAAACATACAAGAGTAGCCTCAGCTCCTTCAGTAAGATGGTCTAGTTAGGTAGTGTGATATAGCCAATTTTAATGAATTTTCAAAAAAATTAGCAGGGCTGCTGCAGAGCGGACTGGGAAGTTGAAGAGAAAAATTTCTTGAAAGGCTGTTTCTTATGAAAGATGCCTTAAATTCAGGAGGGATAGAAAATGTTCCTGCCTAATGAGATACTTCTAGGCAGCATTAGGTAAAGCTACCAGAAATCCCATTGACCCCCAGGTCTTCTGCATCTCTCCTGTTTATTGGTTGACATGATTTTTGTAGCCTAGAGTTGGGAGTCCAAGGTTGACAATGTTAGACTGGGTCAACCAAGAGTCCAAGTCTAGAGTTTCACCCACTGAATTAAACTATAAACTGTTCCCTTAACCTCTCAAATACCAGGAAACCATGCCACCAATATTTAACGATTCTGACACTATGACTTCATGCTTTCAAGGTATTGGGTTGCACCAGAAAGAAGCTCATGTTTGCAGGTACATCTGGTTTAACGCACAGCCTTTTGCTGAGGAGTCTAGAAGTTGCATGAGGCTACTTCTGTAAGGTACTTCACCGCGTCCCACTGCACTTCAGTGGGACATGGTGGCTCAGTGGCTAAAACGCTGAGCTTGTCGATCGAAAGGCCGGCAGTTCAGCAGTTCGAATCCCTAGTGCCGCGTAACGGGATGAGCTCCTGTTACTTGTCCCAGCTTCTGCCAACCTAGCAGTTCGAAAGCACATAAAAAATGCAAGTAGAAAAATAGGGACCACGTTTGATGGGAAGGTAACAGCATTCCGTGCACCTTTGGTGTTTAGTCATGCCGGCCACATGACCACGGAGACGTCTTTGGACAGCGCTGGCTTTTCGGCTTTGAAACGGAGATGAGCACCGCCCCCTAGAGTCGGGAATGACTAACACATATGTGCGAGGGGAACCTTTACCTTTTTACTTCTGTAAGCAATGTTTGGCACCCACCCACCCCCGCTCTTCCTGAGCCCACCTCCCTTGTCAACCGTAGATCAGTGGTGGGTTGCTACCGGTTCGCACCGGATCGGGAAAACCGGTACTGCTGGTGGCGGGAGGCTCCGCCCATCCACCCAGATGCTTCTGCGAATGTACAGAAGTGCCACACACGCAAGCGCGCGCACAAGCAAACAGGTAGCAACCACAGTTGGACTCCACCCCTGCCTTAGATGTGCTGGATTAAATGCCATGAGGCAAAGTTAATGCTATGCTTCATAGTTTATTTATATTTTTATGTAAACATCATTTGCTTGGTAGGCACAATATAACAAAAGCTTAAAAGCAACAGAGAACAATTAAAACAAACATTTCAGTTTACTTAGTTCAGGTGGATGATGAAGAGAGGCTGTCATAGTTCCATAATCCAAACTGGGAACTCATTTCCTTTTTACTAGATGAAAGCAATCAATTCATTAGAGGAAAAATTTGAAAGCAGATTAATAACAAGAGGTTTGGGGCTCCAAGATTCCGAACTCTGTTCCCCAGTAATAATACTGATTAAATAAAATTCCTTCTCTATATAATGTCTCCTGCTGCCTTAAGAGACAGGAGTCTACCCAACCCCAAAGTTGGCAAAATTGCAAACTAAATTCTCCACCTCCATCCAGTTTTTCCCTGCACATTGAAAGCAAGACCTGTTAATGATGGATTTTGAGACTTTATTTGCCACTGCTTTCCACCTACAGAGGTATTTCTTCACCTATATGGGGCATTATAACCTGCTGTACCTCCAATGTATTCTGATGTGGGCAGTTATCTCTTTCGAAAGGGATGAGATCCCTTTCTAAATTTCCCTGAAGAGCCAGGCTGCAATTTTAGGGAAATAAAGTTGCTTTGTGAACAGATGGGGAGGAGGTAAGCCAAGTGTTTGGAGGAAGCTTTCAATGCTTTGCACTCTTTCACCTAATCCCAGAAGAAAATCCAAAGGTCCAGTGAAGCTCAGGCACATAAGATTGAATTCAATAGATCACAGGCACTGATAGTTTGCATGAATGTTGGGCTATTTTCATTCCACTCGATGTGAAAGCCTTTCTCTAGCTTATAAAATATAAGCACACTGGCATGTTTCAAAACAATTCATCCAAGGACAGTTGTGTTTCTCAAGTTATTTCCACAATTAAGTGTTCTAAGCAAATAAAGAAAGTTGGACCATAAGAAAGGCTGCGCGCCAAAGAATTGAGGCCTTTGAACTCTGAGGCTGGAGAAGACTCCTGTGAGTCCCTTGGACTGCAAGGTGATCAAACCGGTCAGTCCTAGAGGAGATCAACCCTGACTGCTCTTTAGAGGGCCAGATCCTGAAGATGAAACTCAAATGCTTTGGCCACCTAATGAGAAGGAAGGACTCACTGGAGAAGAGCCTAATGCTGGGAAAGATTGAGAGCAAAAGAAGAAGGGGACAACAGAGAACGAGGTGGCTGGATAGAGTCACTGAAGCAGTAGGTGTGAACTTAAACGGCTTCCGGGGGATAGTAGAGGACAGGAAGGCTTGGAGGAACATTGTCCATGGGGTCGTGATGGGTCGGACACGACTTTGCAACTAACAACAACAAAGCAAATAAATGATCCACAAATGCTCACCACTTTCTTTCAATATTTGCAATGCTGCAGGACTAAGCGTGAGATCAATTTGTCTTGAGTTATCAAAGGGTTGCAACCCAAAGGCAACATCAAAGCTGAAGAGGAGCAAACTTAGCGTTACTTCCAGTGTACCTTGGCCTTCAAGCACAAAAGGAGCTGAATCACAGAATGCTATCATCACGACATCTCTAAAACAGAGAGTGGGGGAACCAAGGCTAATCTCACGCCAATTAATTTTCTGCCTTCCTTTCTCTCTGATTATACACTCAGTCTTGATTCTACCTTTTTGCTGATGGGCATACTCAAGATGAAAATCAGGTGAAATAATAAAATTTTACATTGCTGGCTAGAGGTTTCGGCTTTGGCTTGGCTGCCTTCTGGGTATCTTTGCCATCATCATGAAGGGCAAACCTGCGCAAGGGGAAAGCAGGAATGCCTTTTTCTTTCTGTGATATAAGTCTGATGGACAACGGATTAAAAGGCAGGCCTAAGGGATTACAAAACCTTCTAAATTAGTGAGGAAGACTGTATCCAGAGGACAACACAGAGATTTAGGGATTTGTGCATTCATTTCTATCGCGTGCATGGTACAGAAAACATTGTAACGTTTCCCCTCTGTGCTCCAGAACTCTGCTTCATCTGAAAGTTAGTCTATTTGTCTGAAAATTGCCTGAGCAGGGGGTTGGACTGGAAGATCTCCAAGGTCCCTTCCAATTCGGTTATTCTGTTATTTAGCCATGGAGAGGAATCTCTTCCATCAAAAGCAATCCCTGCAGCTTTGCCTTATTTCTAAGAGTTTCCTTTCAAAAAGTTGAGTCGTAAAAATGTCAAGATGGGAGTTTTAAGGCATCTGCCCCTGCGTAAGTTAAGAGCTTATGATAAATTCTTGGCTTTCACTGGTCTAGTTTCTAATTGCTGGGCATCTCTGGGGATTGAATTAAAAACAAGAAGATAAATAGGTGGATAGCCGCAACGATGTGAAAAGGTTGGCCCACTCAGGGAGTGTTTACCAAAGTCATCTCTGTTCTCCAAAATCTAAAGTGAAGGATCAGCTGAACTTCTTGGAAGAGGAAACTTTTGATACTGGTATATACGTTGGTTAATGACCAAAATAAAGTTTGATTTGATTACAGTGGTAAGCTTGCAATGGCTCCTGCCCATAAAACACACCTAAATGATGGCATTCTTTTGCAATTTGTTTGACATGGTCCCTTCATTCCATCCCTTTTTGCTTTCTTCTATATTCTTGAAGAGATGGCATTCTGCGGAGATACATCGATTTACCGCAAAAAAAAAAAAAAGCTTCCGTATGAGTCGCAAAAATGGAATGTGCAACAGCTGCAATTTAAATGGCTTTCAAAACTGGATTGAAACCAATCCATGAAGAAAGTGGCTATTAATCATCGTTGCACTGCTAGAGATACCTGGGTAATAAGAGAAGGCTGATGGTGGTAGAATTAGAATGCGGCAGGAATATTATTTTAATGATGGATATAAAATCGATTGGCAGGGCAGTGGATAACTGGAGCAGGCTCTTATAAACCACAGTGGGGTTATAATGATGCTGCCAGTGAAATTCCAAAAGCAGGGCTTGAATCAGAGCTCTTCATTTTTACTAATGTGCAAACGTTCGGTCTGAAGAAGATTATACCTGAAAGAGATTCGATCAAGTATTGAAAACAAACTGACTTTTAAAAAATACCATTGAACAGAAGCTTAAATCTTATTGAAATAAAATTATTATTATTATTATTATTATTATTGGATCCTTTTGAAGTGATCTGGATTTTTTTTGATTTTTTTTTTTTGGTAGAGATGCAAAAAAAATGGCTTTAAAAAAAATTGAATCAATTTGCTTGCTTGATCCAAACTTTTGAATGGACTCATGATGTCAGTTTTATGAGTCAATGCAATGCAAATCGAATCCGATCGGTTTTCAAAATCAAATCAAATCATTTGAATGGATCTGTTTCCCAATCTAGCTCAGACCTGTTGCAATTCCAAACTAGTATAGATGTTCTCCTACCATTAAAGCCATTTTCCCCACCTAGAGATTTGAGGGGGGAGAGTAATAATGCAGGAATGGCAAATTCCCACCCGCCTTCTAAAAACTAATGGCGATAAAATTCCTATTAAGTCTGATTGGACTGCATACCACACCTAAAGCGGCTGTTTTATTTACCATCACTCTGAAAAGTGATATACTTAGACTAAATGATGTGTATAAATAATGACCAATTATTCTAACATTGTGATATCTCAACTCCCTCCCTTACTTTGAGTTTGTAATCATCTTTAACTTGATTTGTTTTCATCTGTGGTTTGGTTGATCGACAGCTTCAAGGAACAACAGAATCACCTTTGTAAAATGGCTTATTGTCAAAATCCACCTTTTAGAATCATAACAGAACCGAACTGTTCAACAGACAGACAGCACCTCTCCGAAAATTAGAAAAAAATAAAATTGGAATATTTAAAATAATACGTTAATCCAAATGCATCTTTCTTTTGGGGAAAGATGTTAGTAATAGTTTAGTGGTTCTCCAAGACATTTGGACAAATATTTTCTTTGATTAATAAGGCGGATAACACTAAAACTGCATAGGAAATCTACGTTCTCTGTGACTACAAGATATGGAATCACAGTACTTTTTTCCCTATAAGAAAAATGGTAATGAGACAAGAATAATGTGAGGTTTACACAAAGTGTCAGCATTTGGATAAAGCATTAAGAGACTAATATTTCTTTAAATGTGTGGATTGGAGATATTTACTCTTGAGCTACCTTTTAAGTATTATTAAGAGTGCTGTTTTGCTTAACAATGCTAAAAAAAAAAGATGCTAAACAAACTTTTAGGATATGAAAGTATAAAGTCATTCCGAAGAATTTTCTTTGTACAATAATATAATTTAGGCAAACCAACGATAAACATTTGTTGGCAATATTTTCAACGAACCCATTTTAATTAATTGGTGGAGTCTTGAGCTGCTACTATTCCCGTAACAACTATTATACACTGAGAGTTACACAAATCAGTGCGTCTTAGCATCTCTTGAGGATGGTTTTTTTTTTTTGTATACCATACAATATTGTACACATGAGGTATTTTCTTGAGAAATGAGAAGGAGTTGCTTATTTAACAAAGATGGTGTGATTTTACAGAGTGGGAAAAATTGGTAATTGCTTACCACAGTAGCCTTAGTTTGTGATTCAAGAGAGGATTTTCCTTCTTTATGCCCATAAAGGAGAAGATACACATTTATGGATACATCATGAACAGTTCTTCAAATGTATAGTAGGGTAGGGCTTTGTGTGCACATAGATTTATCAGGGTTCATTCGTATCATTGTCCAGTTCATGATTATAATTTTGTCATGGCCTATGAGATGGTTTAAGGCTTTGTATCAGTTTATCAACAGAGAGGGCCTATTTGTACTAACTTTCCCACTTATTACAAAACATGACTACAAAGTTTGCCTGTGGATCAGTCTGAACAGGTCATAGGGCTGGGGAAAGACAAAAAGTTAACTGTCACCCAAGAGAAAGCAAGCTTTAAATATTTTTCTTGTTTCCTTGACTATAAATACATTTTAATAGCTTGATTTATCTCCATCCATATCCCCCCCATATTATCAAATCACTAATTTTAACTTGTTTCTCTTCTGTTCAATTGTGTCCAGTTCTCAGAGACTGCCTGAACAAGTCCCTGAAGTGCTGGTTTGTTTTTTTGGCAAGGTTTTTCCTAAGTGATTTGCCATTGCCTGGTTCTTAGAGCTGAGAGAAAGTGACTGGCCCAAGGCTACTCAGGTGGCTTGGTTCCCAAAGTGGAATTGCAATTTACAGTTTCTTGCTTTCTAGCCTGATGCTTTAACTATCACATTAAACTGGCTCTCAATTTTAATTTAAAATTACCTAAATAAAGCTGGTTAATAGGTTGGGGGTTGGTCTGGCATACTCATGTTTTAAGTGAAGAAAATGCCAAGAAGAGTTCAGGCTATGCATGCCTGCAATTACTGTACATATCGACTACCCTGTCCACAGAACCTAACATCCCACCACTCTCCAAAACTAACCCATGTCAACCCTATCAAAGTGGATCGAAAATTTGTTTCTGGAACCAACATGGAAAGATGTTTGTGTCTCCTATCGCTGTAGATGACAATAAGGCTTTTGATAGGGATTCAACAAGACTCTTACAGGCAAACTGGAGACCACAGGATGGAATGTCATAATACTGGGAAAGTCAGAATGGCACTTCAGTTCAAAACATCAATGACCAACACCTGATAGCTCAGCTGACTGCAGACAAAAGGAAAAAACAAAACAGCAAACACTGTACTAGAGCATTTGTTCACTGGTGCACAAAATGGGTTTCCCCAGTTGTCTTCCCTTCTTCTGCTTTATCAACTCTTCCAGCTCTCGTTCCCACCTTTTCCAACTACTGTTGAATGAATGGTATACACTCTTTGTTCTCATTGTCCCCCTCGTGGTCTTCTTCCTCTTCGGCAGCTTCGCTGGTCTCTGTGCTGTCGTTAGCCATCTGGGGATGAGACGGAACCAAAAGGATGCACGTCAAGTCAATATACCGTATTTTTCGGAGTATAAGATGCACTGGAGTATAAGACGCACCTACCTTTTTTGGTGAGGAAAAGAAGAAAAAGAAATCTGCCTCTGCCTCTGAGCAATTTTGCCTCATTGCAGCAAACAGACTGCTTTACTTTCATTTTCGTTTTCAGCATAGCTTGATTAGCACAAGGAAAAAAAATCTGCTCCAGCAATTTACCTCTTTGCAGCAAGCAGCAGAGCCCTGCACAAAACAGCTGAGAGCAAATCAGCTGAGAGTCGGGAGGCAGATCCAATCAACTTGTGCTAATTAGGCTGTGCTGAAGCTGAAAGGAGCTGATTTTTCTTGCTGTTTGCTTGCAAGGAGGTAACTGCTGCGAGGCACAGGCCAAAGGATGGGGGCCAATGGGGGGGGCTACATTCGGTGTATAAGATGCACCTAAATTTTCACCCCCTTTTAGGGGGGGGGAAAGTGCGTCTTATACTCCAGAAAATATGGTAATTCTCTGCCTAATGTGCAAAGCAATCAGCATAATGGAGAAGACCCTAAAGCAGAGGTGGGATTCACTTACCTTCCCTACCGGTTCACAAATGTGAGCCTTCTGTGCATTCACAGTACTCGCGCATTACATCCGAGCGGGTGGGCGGAGCCTCCCGCAGTCGCCGCTACCAGTTAATGCAATCAGGACAGAACTGGCTGAATCCCACCACTGCCCTAAAAGCAGAGGTATCACCATACCAAAACTTTGTCAAGAATTGCAAGAACAAGATGAAAGGGGAAGAGCGCCATAATTTTGAGGAGTGACCTTTTAGTTCATCACCATCATCTCTTACGCACGCATAGATGCCCAACCCATCCAGGTTTGCATACATGGTGCCATTTTCAAGGTGTTTTGAGTAAAAGGAGAAACGATGGATCCAAGCAATGATTTGCAAAGGCATGATCACCAATTGGCAGATCTCCAAATGCATTCTAAGCTGATGACTCTTATGGAATTGAAATTTGGCAAAACTTATAAAACTTTTCATGACATAAACATTATCATAAAACTGTATGATATAAGACAGATGTCATAAAACATCTTCTATGGTCAACTCCTGATGTTTGACAATTCCACACGGGCTATTTTCAAATAGTCACATCTCTGAATATCTTCCTGAAATTTAAGAACTTAAATTTAAATTTAAGTTAAATTAAATTAAATTTAAATTTAAAAACTTCCAGTGAAGATAGAACAGTAGAAGTTCTGCCATTGTTTGAAGGCATTAAGGAATCTGGTAATAAATGCCCCTGAAACAATAACTCAACAGGTCACCTAGGGGGCTAATAAAGGGTGCGAATATTCACATATTGATCAATATGTTGGATTTGAAATCTTCTACTTCTTGTAACTTACCAAAGGAGTAGGTGTCTTCTCCACATCCAGAATTAATTTTCCTATATTACCTCTGTCGTGGATTCTTTGCATTGCTTCCTTCACCTATAATCAATAGAGCTTACATTTTAATCCTCTTTGTGATACAAAAGCAAATCAAATCAAAGACAATACCCCCCCACAACTTTATTTGAGCACAAGTATGTTTCCTAGGATATGTATGTATGTATGTAAAAAAAATATACCCATGTTGACTTTCAGTATAAGCCCACGAAAGACATGGAATTAATTACACATCACAAGAAAAGAAAATATTGTTATCACCAGAATATCACAGCACTAGAAAGGCTGCTGTCTAAAACCTGTTTTAGGAGGTTCTAGGACAGTGGTTCTCAACCTGTGGGTCACGATCCCTTTGGGGGTCGAACGACCCTTTCACAGAGGTCGCCAAAGACCATAAGAAAACACATATTTTCAATGGTTTTAGGAATAATTTTATGGTTGGGGGTCACCGCAACATGAGGAACTGTATTAAAGGGTCGTGACATTAGGAAGGTTGAAAACCACTGTTCTAGGAGGAAGGGGTTAAGCTATTTTCCAAAGCACCTGAAGGCCAGACAAGGAATAATGGATGGAAACTGAACAAGGAGGGATTCAACCTGGAAATAAGGAGAAATTTTCTGACAGTGAGAGCAATCAACCGATGGAACAGAAGTTGCCTTCAGAAGTTGTGGGAGCAGGGGTGTTGGACTAGATGACCTACAAGGTCCCTTCCAACTCTGTCAATCTGTATTTGTATCTGTTTCCTAGGAGTCCATGGTTGGAGATTTCTCTTGTGTAAATGTGTCTGGCAGAACTAGGAACACAATGTCTTCAGAAGATTTAGACTAAAGCTCTTAGAATTCTTCGGGATTGTCCATGTGTCAGCCCTACAAAGTCACATCAGATCAGGAAATTCACTCTACTTGAAGATTAGACTGAAACTTTTTGGTGATAGGCTACAATAACACAATCTTGCAGGTCTGCTTGGGTTTTCACTTCCGTCTGTCTTTTACACCTGGAGGTCAAAAAGAATCCAATCTAAGCCTTCTTCTAATACTGTCCTACCCCCCTGGGCTTAGCACATTGCTTCTTCTTTCCCGGGTCTTCTAATGATGCTTTTTCCAAAGTTATCTCTCCCACACCATGTGACTTTAGAGAATAATAATGTAATAAAAGCATCTGGAGAGCACCCCTGATGGAAACAATGGAAGTATCATATGCAATCCTATTTCTATCTTCTTGGGAGGATATTGTCAGAATATTCACGAACTGGAATGGAGACATGGTAACAAGGTCAGACATGATAGCAGTGTTCCAATATCTCAGGGGTTGCCACAAAGAAGAGGGAGTCAAACTATTCTCCAAAGCACCTGAGGGTAGAACAAGAAGCAATGGATGGAAACTAATCAAGGAAAGAAGCAACTTAGAACTAAGAAGAAATTTCCTGACAGGTAGAACAATTAATCAGTGGAACAACTTTCCTGCAGAAGTTGTATATGCTCTAACACTGAAAGTTTTTAAGATATTGGATAACCATTTGTCTGAAGTGGTGTAGGGTTTCCTGCCTGGGCAGGGGGTGGGACTAGAAAACCTCCAAGGTCCCTTCCAACTCTGTTATTCTATTCAATGAATAGGCATAGCAACTGAGTAAGCCAATGGGGACTGTTTGGAAACTGAAACAGTATTTGCTGGAGGCAGCAGGGAGCTTGGGTGTGGCTTAGCAAACAAGTCTGGTCTGCTCTAGTCTGCCAGCTGAATTGAAACTGAAGCTCATCTCTGCTGTTCTCTCCTCTGCTTGTGTTTGCTTGTAACTCTTTACCACGTTGGAAGAATCTACTGTTGTTATTGTATGTGTTATTATGTATATAAAGAGAAGTTAATGAATCCTGCTGAATCAGTTATCTGTATGTGCTTTCTGGATGTGATTTCTGCAACAAACTCTGACAGATATTGCAATGAATATCACTTTGGAAGATCAGAACTCTGGATTTCCATTCCATTCCATTCCATGCTATGATTTTGTGTTTTTTTAATGATTGCTGGAGCTCCTTTGCTGTTACATGGACTGCAGCTTCATTTTATGATACATGGACAAATTCCTGTAATCACAGAGTTAAATATTATATTTATACCTTAGCTCAATTCAAAGAGAGTTTAGGCTGTGGTAGACAGTGTATATAATAAAATGCCGTAAACCATACAATGGCAAAACCAGAAAGCATTGCATTAATGTAATAAAACCAGATTATAACACATGACATGGTTATAAAAATATAGAAATGTTGGCGGAGGTCACAAGAAGAACGTCATCTACGTCATTCCAATTGCTGCATAATCTTACGCCTGTGGCAGTTGCTATGGGCAACTTTCATCCAGTCTTTTGAGCTGAGGTCCCTTTTAGGACATCCACCTGAAGTACCTGAGCTGAAATCTCTCCAAAATACCCCATAAAGCAGCAATTGTGAAGTTGTTATGGTTAAGAAAACGCCATGAGCACATCCTGAAGATACCAGATTGTAAAGAGGCAAGGTGGAATGTCACCATTAGCGATTTCCACACTGTATGTGGGCTACAGCTGGAAAAGTTTAGCTTCCACTCTCCATCTTAGTAGAGATGGATTCACACACACACATATTATAATATTGCATGTTTAGTAACTATCCATGGATCTATCATTATATTTCTATCTTCTTTTCTCCTGGTAGCTCAGAGAAGGGGAAAGTTTATCTCATTGCATTCCCACAACTCCCAAGGAAGGGAGGTTGGCCTGAGGGTACATCACTCAACTTGAGATCAAGTGGGGATTTCAACCTGCATCTGCTTTATGCAAGCCCAGTGTTAACAAGTGGTCTCCAAACCATCTAGTTTGTCAGTTCTGAATATGGTTTGTTCAATAACAATTAGGGACTGACTTACTTCATGCAAGCCATCATTATGTCAGCCATCTATTTAACACGTGGGGCTCCAGATGTTGTTGAATGGTTCTCAGCGCCATTCGTATGCTAGCCAGCTCTGATCAATAGCATCCAACCCATTTTCTCCCCTAAAGAACGCAGGAACTTTATTGTTCAGCTGAATTAAAGAACCTTTTGGACTTTCAGTGGTTTCCAATCCTTGCTTCAATTTGAAATTTCGCTAAAGAATGATTAGCAGCTAACTGCAATTTCACAAGCCCTTAAGTCTACGGAGAACAAATGCTTCAATTGCTTCTACACTATCAAGGGAAAAAAAATAATCATGCTGTCTATGTTTCATTTGTTCTTTGAAAATATAGCTGTGCCTCAGGAGCTACTCAAATGCCATATTATAGACAAAAAAAGAAAGAAAGAAATTACTTGTGCTTTCTGTGACAATATATGCACTTAATATGGATGAGGGAAAAGAGGAAAGAGGTTATTAAGGCTCCTATACATTTTTTAGATGTTTTCACAATACAATGAAGTGATTAATCAAGAGTTATTGAATAAACACAATTCATTGGATGACACAACATTGCCTATACCAATGATGGTTAAAACCTTTTTTTCCTTGGGTGCCAAAAGCTGTTCTGTTCTGTTCTGTTCTATATTGGGTGTGCTTGAATTTCTGTAACTAAGGCAGGCTTGACATTCATTCCAGTGATAAGTTCTTCACTTCTGCAAAAATTTAGATGAGCTTTTCCTATGCTAGTATTTTCCGTACATTATAGGCATCTAACCACCCATGGGAAGGCAACAGTATGAATACTATTATATTTTGCTTTGATGGAGATAAAGGAGGCAACCATTTTTCTCTGCCAAGTTCCAGAACCTTCCATTACACATAATATTCCATCATTCCTGATAGCCAATTATTTGAATGGGCAGAATAATCTTTCTACTTCGATGATCAGAGCTTAACATAAGAATGGGTAATGTCTGTGTGTGGGGGGGGGGAATCTTTTTCTCTCAGAAAAAAAAAATGTTTTCTTTATTCCTCATTTTGCCGCAGGAGGAGCGCTCCAAAGACTATTAACTCATTTTGTACACAAGTTCAATGCTGACCTTTTGGCTGCAAACTGCCCCACTTCTCACAGGAGATTAGAACATTCACATAAAGGAATGAATTTGCATTACTAATAATTCTAACAAACAGCAATAAAATGTAACTGCCAAGCTAGATAGCAGCTCTAGGTCACTTTTATGAACTCTCGAAAAGCTAAAGGAACAGAGCCAGTTGGAAACCTCAGGAGCGAATGCTAGATTCGAAAGACAAAATATTAACCTAGATTAAGTAAGCAACAAATTATATCGTTTCCTTATTATTATTAATAAGGATGATTAATAATCCTTATTTTTTGATATGGGACTTATTTAATCAATGGCTAAATAACAGAAACAGAAGTTAGAAAGGAGGAGATATAAAAAGAGGAAATGGTAAAGTGGAGAGTCGTTAAAGAAGATGATGTTAAGTGCTAAATATTAATGTTATTATATTATTATGTTACTATATTACTATAGGATGGAGATGAATTATCACAGCAAAGATGTGTAATGTGACTATTTAAATGTAACTGTACCCAGAACACACACAGTTTGATGAAAATTGAATGTTATATAAATGAAACAAATAAAGCATGAAAAAAAACACCACAAATTATACCATTTCCAAAAATAGTAACAGCCAAGTGGTTACCAGGAGTGGAGCATGGCTTTACTTCTACAATTCTTTTGAAAAGTATTCAAAGGCTGAAATAAACAGAAGAGCAAAACCATCACTAGATAAAACTGAAAGACAATAGTTGGGTTCCTTCAGCACAGCTGGACATAATCCACGATCCAAGGATCACAGTTCTCATAACAAGCTAAGCCAAACACAAATAATGCCAACCTCTTCAACACCTGGAAGAATAAAGCATGTTTTTATTATTCTCTAAAGCAGAAAAGGAGAATTTTCTTCTTTGTAACTTTAGAGAAGGCAAAGTGCTACTAAATTTGTTTATGCTTGTTGGGATAAAGTTTGGAAGTCACTTCTTTATGTATTTTTTTCCCTCATTCTGCAATATATTTTTTTATCTTTTTCTTCCTTTTACATTTTACAACTAT